TATGTACAATCTTAATTCAGTAATTGATACGTCTAATGTGTTACAGTATTGCTCCTGTGAATTCGCAAAATTTAAGAAATACAGCGAGAAACGATACATGCTATTTAATCTTCGTTTTCATTTGCTGAGACTCGTCTTTGTGGGAGCCAAAAAATTGGAAATCGCGCGAGCAATACCATACGCTCTCGTAAGGCATCGAAATTTGCATCTACGCAATAATTAAAATTACGCTATATGAATATAAACTTCTGAATTTCGCTTTTCTTTTCCACGCATACACACATCCACCTGAACCACTTAAAAATATGTAATTTAACGCGACGGGTTTAACCTTTATTCTCGGATAAGATCATTTTCGCAATAAAATTATTTTTTGCAGTATTTAAAAGGACGTCTCTGACTGCGGATTTCAAAATGTTTTGTTGTTTCTAGCACCTTGGGTTATATTAAGTTTCCACTTTTCTCTGTCTGCATTGAACACACTGTATTAGTATGATTCTTTAATAACAACAATTACTTATTCAGACTTTTCGATATGCATTAAATATTACAATTATTTCTTCCTTTCATTTGAACTAGGTATTGTCTGCTTAGGCACTTAACAATTTCAACTATTTTGTTAGTCTCTCACTTCTTTTGTTCTACTATTGTTATAAATATCTCTATGTTTTTTAATTTTACTATTTCGTTTTTATTGCTATATGGCGGTTAAACAGACTTTCACGTCTAAGGTCAGTCGTTTTCTTTCTTTTCTATACATAAATATCATTCTATTTCATAATCGCATTGCGATTAATGCACAGGTACTGTGTTACATGTTGTATTTATAAAACTAACAAGGCTCAACTTTCATTTCATTTCTATTCCTTTACAAAAAGTGTAACAATGAACAAGAAAAATATGATTAGATTGAACTATTTCTTATTTCATAGAGTATCATACTTCTGTAGCTTGTATTCTCTTTGAAAAATTGAGCCTTACATTCCATATTATTTACCATTATTTTAAAAAGGACTATGGAATGCTGAGGTGAAAATGTTCCAAGGCAGCTTTGGTTTGTACTTATCAAGAAATATTCTGCTAACTGTACAGTGAAACTTATCCAGAACTTCAACGAATAAAATGTTCCTACAAAAACGTTTTTAGTTTCTATTGCATAGCTGACAAATTTCACTGTACAAATGGCTTGACATAAAGTGAACTCTTACTATCGTTGACAAATCGACAACTTGTACTATATATATAAAATCTGAGATCCATAATCAATGTGACAACAATTCATCATAAAAACAATCTTCGCTGTCTCTAATTCCGCGCCAAGAGCATCCTTGTATTACATATATAAATCCTGAAGTCTATGCAACCGGATGGACTCTGACTAAATGTATCTGTTACTTCTCAAGGGCGGACAACGGAAAACTAGGATATACCAAACTATACTGTGTTTCAGTAAATCATTGTATCCGGCCGTTGCACGGCGATGTTAACATGTTTAAGAGAAATGCAAGTCTCGTGGCTTATATTCTAGCTACGTCATAATTAAAATTTATATCTCATAATATAATATATTTCTCATAACTTATATAATATATACGTATATATACATATATGCGCGTCTGCGTGTGTATATATGTATACATATGTATGTATATTCTATTATATATACTACTCTTTTCTTCTGTATATATATATATATCAGCGTTTGTAAAATAAAATAAAAATACCACGGTTCCGTCGAGTTGGTAACGCAGGTTAGGTTCATCAGTCTTAACGTAAAATGAACAATCTTGTTCGTTGTACAATATGAGGTAGTTCGTTCTATGTGTTATTGTATGCATATGCGTAATATTGAGCAATATTGCAGCTGTATCCCAGGGCCATGATCAGTAACGATAATGTAATCTTATAATTACCAACAAATTAACAGCAATATCTCAGTCATTAACGAAACTAATGAAATCAATTCTATCTTTTCCCTTCCTCTCTCAGTATTCCTTAGATTATACAGCTCGTATATAATCGTATCCTACTGACAGCATTTAATGCTAAAGATAGGAATATTTCTCCTAAAAGAAAAATAAAACAATATTGCTAAAATAATATACAATTTTCCTTTCTCTCGTATCGCCTAACTTAGAATCGATAAGGCTGTCATAGTACTACTATGTCCATTGCAAAAAGAAATTAAAATACCGAATCACAAATAATAAAAGTTATACATGCATACTCACTGGTCCGAAATTGTTTAAAGCTTAATGCAATTATAATATTTGTCAAATAGAAGAAACATATAAAATTAATTCCCTTAAATAAAATCAATGGAGAACATTTACGCATAATTTTGTAAAATCTTTTTGCCTTACTCATGGTACCAAACTGCCAATTCCTGTTAAGGCGCAACAGTTTAGATTTTTCCTCAAGAAAAAGACACAATTTCTTTAATCGTTAGCATTAGGCTTTAACAACTTTGGAGCGCAAACTCTGATTACGTTTCAGTCTCTTGAGTCCACAATGCACTAATCAGTCTTCTGTAATATAATCCAAGCAAAAGATTTCATGAATCTCTATCTTGGTTTTCATACCAAGTTCATGGTAAATGTTTGCGTCATCATTGACATTCTATGGCTTAGTGTTGCAGCGATAACATACTACTAATCCCTGAGCTCCATCAAATGTTGACTTAATTAGCTTCTAATTTACCTTCACTTTTTGCCTATTTCATATAAATTCTCTTCGAAATATAAAAGTGATTGTCTATATACATGGTACCCTTATGAAAACCATCAACGCAACATAGGCTGCACGAGTATTGATAACTTTACAAAGTAATATGCGTTCCTCTCTTATGTTTCCCTCTAAACTGTTACTTTTAAGTCACCTAAGATCTTACGTTGTTGCCGTTGTAACCAAGATATAGTACGTTTAGTTGTTGTACGAAGTCTCCCAGTGACAATGGGAGAAAAAACAAAAGAAAGGTATACGTTAGTTATGGTTACACGAATCAGAACCAATGTCTTCCTCCTCTTTGATAGCCGACGTAGGCGGGACTATCACACGGACATCCGACTTACGACTCACGGAGAGGTCCTCCACCTGATCCTCGTTACTCTGCTGTTTCACAGAATGTATAACGGGGCTAGGACTGCACCGAGTGATGTCTAACATTTCCCGATCAATGGGGCCGTCTCTGGCTTTGTACGTGTCTAGCATCGACCCAGGATTTTCAATTACTGCGTTGCTGTTGTCGTTTTCGTTCTCGGACAATGCGCCACCGTATATACTTCCATTCACGTTGCCGCCGATTCCGTAAGGGAAACATGCGCCGCTGCCGTTCGAGCCGCGTTTAAACGGCCGTGATGTTGTAATGCCCAGCTTCTTCACCTTATCGTAAAGGGTTCGAGATGGTACGCCATACTTACGCGCCGCCTGCAGGGCACTCATTCCTGAACGTACAGCCTCGATAGCGGACATGATGTCGTTTCGTGTGTATTGCTTGTATCGTTTCCATTCAGGCTTCTGCGTTGGAACATAATTGACGATCCCTAAAAGTAAGATTATTATGAACCGTGGTCTCGGTAGGGCTGACCTGCTTCTTCAAAAAAATGTACTTTCTCTCTATTTTTTATTTATTATATTATTTTTCTTCTGGAAGTGATCATAAAATAAATAGGTCAGCGGTGCATTTAATGGTGAGCAAATTGGGTGCTTGAGGGCCGTGAACCTGGAAGGGCCCGAAGTCCTAAGCCAAGATAGTAAAATATTGTTCTACATTTGATGTGCTTAATAATTTTTTAACACTATAACTACCAGATGGGTCAAAATGACCCATTCCTAAATACTTTTTTTACATTTATTGAAAAAACAATAGGTCCTTCTCTAGGAAGTTTCTAAAGAAATTGTTTTAGTAGACAAATTTTGAAAAGTCAACTTGACTACTTGGTAGTTTTAGTGTTAATCTTTATCGAGTCTCCTATGAGCATTTTGCACGCAGAATCGCAGCGTTCTTCGTGTAAATCAAGGAAATAGATAAAATGAGGCCCTTTCAATGCTACCGTCGAGCCCCTAAAACCCAAATCCGCCACTTAGACGACGCAAAAGTTACCTGACTAAGATGCATTAGCTACCCTCATAAAACCCTTTCCAATTTTTCAAGAAGCCAAGCTGAAGACCTTCCAGAAAATTGATTTGAAGAAACCGTATAGCCGGTAGCTATTCTCTTGCATCATTTCACTGCTACCTAAAGAACTATGACACCTGGCTAAAGCTAAGTGTACCCTTTCCTAAAATTCAACGGTCCAGCTTCCTCCTTACCTGACTTAACCTCTCCAGGATACGACTGCGGCGAGGGTTGCTTGTCATCCTCGTCCATCATAGATACGTCCGTGTAAGGGCTGTGTGCAGGTTCCCCGTGAGCGATGTCAGTGCTGCTGCGCCGGTCGCCCTCGTGCGAGGAGCCATTGCTGTTGTTCCTGAAGTGATTCTCGTGGCTGTCCGGGTGCAACAGAGGGATGCCCTGCGAGCTGTCCGCGTGTCCCTGGCCCAGCACTGTCCTGAGTATCGGCGTGTCTCTGTTTATCATCATGTTGGAGAGCTTCTTCCGTTTCAGCGGCGAGGTCTCGAAGCCGTTGTCGTAGGAACCGGTGAGAATGGAATGTTGCGGATGAGTCGCTACTTGGTGATTACTGGAGTGCGAGGAGATGGGAATCCCCGATAGAGGCCACATGTGCAACGGCAGGCGGCTGGCGCTCCTCTCCACCGACGACTTGCCGTACACGTTGTAGGAAGTTCCAGTGGAGTGTGGCGGTGACGCGTGACCGCTGCTGTGAGCCGCGCTGCTGGTGCTCGTGCTGATCGCTGGCGGAGGAGACATCGAGGTTTCGACTTCCTCACGTCGGCCTTGGGAACCGTTCTCCTCCACCAGGCCCTTCACCTTCAACACCTCAGCGACCTTCAGCAGGCCAGCCAATTGCTCCTGTGCCACGTTCACCTCACCCCGGTACATGTACTCGAGAATGGCCTTGATCTCGGAGTACTTGACGTCTTTGAGGACGACGATCGGGTGTTTACACGGCAAATCGATGAACAACGTTTGAAAGTAAGAGGAGCAGGCGGCTAGTACCATTTTGTGACATTTTACCGAGGCACCGCCGTCCACCGCGAGCGTCACGTCGGTGAACGCCTCGTTCTGCAGCAGCTCGTCGAACACTGTCAGCAGGTTCGAACGGTGGTTGTTCCAGCGTAGGCAGTACTGCTGCGACGTGCTCGCCATGGTGGATGATCTTATCGGTGGGGGCTGAAAAAAGGGGTTGAGATCAGTCGGTTGATACGAGACAGGAGCGTTTTATTTAATAAGATCAAGGAATTCGAAGAGACTACTAAAAGAAAATGATTTGTTTAGGAACCTAGAGAAGCATCCCGTTAAAGAAATATTGTTCTCGTTCACTGCTTCAGGATATTCAGCTAATCGCAGAACAAAAAGAACGTCGCGTATAGAACGGCAACCCCGTCTTAATTAAAACGTCATTATCCACCCGTGCAGAGCAGCAGAACTTTGAATACCGTTTCCCAAAAGTCGTTAACCGGAGTCGGTAATTGTCCTTGAGTCGCGGTGTGACTCACTCACGTGGAACTAGCCCCCTCCGCCGTTAGGACAGTTCGCCTAACACCGAAAAAAATGCGTAAAAAACTGCCAGCGGCGCGCATGTGCGGAACGGGTACCGTGCGGCCGACATACGCAGGCGGAAGTCGCGTGCAGTTCGAACAGTTCAATCGATTCACCCGGAATGAGGGGTTTAAATGTATAAATAAAACAGGAACTGACTCGCAACATCCTACCGCAAACACACCCTATACGCTATATTCGTCAGTGGGCAAATTGACAAAATTGATAACGTGACTATACTAGCAACATATAAATCCCTATGCTCACTAAATTGCTAAACAACGTCGCTTAAAGGGTGGCACGTATGATGTTACGTGACGCAGTATATAAAAAAAAAACTTACTCTCTGAGACGGTGCCTTTTTTTCCCCGATACGATGGCGCCGTGGACTTTCAAATGGCCGCCGAGGTGTACGCTAGGAGACGCACGGTTCTGCGTGCGTGTGCACTCGCATTCGCCGCACAGTGTGCCTCGACGTTCCTAAAAATCGGGCCGACTAAACGCAAGCCGCGGGTCTATCATTCACCCTCAGTCGTTTTGCATGGCGATCGGAGGCGCGTGCGCGCACGCCAACAGAACTGATCAAAACAAACCTCGTGACTTCATTCTCGCTAGCGGCTCGCATGTGTATGTGCGCCCGCGCTCTTGATGTTTTGATAGAGGCACGCAAGAAGTGTTACACGTACACGATGGTAAACACGAGTCGGTGCACACTGCCTAGCGACCGAGAGGCCAGAGGGAAAATTCTATTCTTCCAACGAAGAAAACTTCTGTAGGATCATCCGTCCTTTCTCGCGATGGTCTCTCACTGTTTTCATTTCAGGGGCCACGAAAGATGCCCGGCCACGTTC